AGACAAAATAGACTTTAAAATAAAGACTATAATGAGACAAAGGAAGATCCACTAATCCCACTTCTGGGTATTTATTTGAAGAAACCCCAAATGCTACTTTGAGGGAATATGTGTACCCTTAGGTTCATTGCAGCATTGTTTACAATGGCCAAGATGTGGAGGCAGCCTGGATGTCCATCGATGGATGAATGGATAAAGAGGAGGTGATACATACATGCTATGGAATATTGCTTGATCATGGAAGTGAATGGGTTGTTGTCATCTGCGATGGCATGGATGGACCTGGAGGGTGCTGTGCTGAGTGGAGTGTTAGACGGAGAAAGACAGATGCAAATTGATTTCACTTATATGTGGAATCTAAAGAACAAAATAAACAAACAAAACAGAAATGCTCATAGATACAGAGAACATTTTGATGGTTGCCAGATAGAGGGGTTGGGGGTGGGTAAAAAAGGAAAAGGATTAAGAAGTACAAATTGGTTGTTACAAAGTAGACATGGGGATGTAGGGTATAGTACAAGGAATATAGTCAATAATACTGCAATAACTGTATGGTGTCGGATGGGTACTAGATTTGTTGGGGTGACAGATGGGAGAGGGGTTGGGCTACAGGGTAAAAAAAGTGAACGGATTAAGAAGTAAAAATTGGTAGTTAGAAAATAGTCATGGGAATGTCAAGTAAAGCACAGGGAGTATAGTCGATAGTATGGTAATAGCTATGTATAGTGCCAGGTGGGTACTAGACTAGTCAGGGGGATCACCTCTTAAATTATACAAATATCTAACCACTATGCTGTATACCTGAAATTAATATAAAATAATATTGAGTGTAAAAAAATAATTGAAAAATAAGTGTTGGCAAGGATATGGAGAAAAATGAACCCTCGTGCACTGTTGGTAGGATTGCAAATAGGTGCAGCCACTATGGAAAACGGTATGGAGTTTCCCCACAAAATTAAAATATAACTACCTTATGACTCAGCCATTCCACTTCTGGGTGTTTATCCAAAGAAATTCAAGACACTAATTCAAAAAGATATATGCACCTTTTGTTCATTGCAGCATTATTTACAATAGCCAAGATATGGAAGCAACCTAAGTGTCCATCAGTAGACAATTAGATAAAGAACAGGTGGCACATATATACAATGGAATGTTACTCAGGCACAAAAAATAATGAAATGTAAACCATTTGCAACAATATAGATGGACTTAGACGTTATTATGCTACATGAAATAAGTCAGACAGAAATATCAATACCATGATTTCACTTATATGTGGAATCTAAAGAACAAAATAAATGAAGAAACAAAACAAACAGACTCATAGACATAGAAAACAAACTGAGGGTTGCTATATAGGGGTTTTGGGGGGCTGGGTGAGAAAGGTGAAGGCATTAAGTACAAATTGGTAGTTAACAAAATAGTTATGAAGATGTAAAACCCAGCATCAAGAATATAGTCAATAATATTGTAATAACTATGTATAGTGCCAGGTGGGTACTAGACTAATTGGGGGGATCACTTTATAATTATACGAATATTTAAACTCCATGCTGTTCACCTGAAATTAATATAAAATAATAGTGAATATCAACTGTAATTGGAAAATAAAAAATAAAAATAAATAAAGTAAGGCGAGATAGAAAAACAAAAGTGAAACAAAAAGATAGAGATGTGATGCTATTTTAATTTGAAAGTCATATAAGTGACTTTTTACATAATAACTGCTCCTGTGTCTTTACAGATAGTAACCATATTACCAAATTTTTTCTTCAAAAGATTCAACATTCCCCAAAACCCTCTTTTTAATCAAGCAGTATCCAGATAAGAAGAACATTAGCCAGATTTTTGAGCATTAATTATCATGCCCATGAGTAACAGTCTTGGGCTTGGTTTGCAAATAAGTAAGGAAATCCTTCTGTGAGCCTTGGTTCATCATTCATATATGTGTGTACTCTTTTTCTGAGTGCAGTCTCAATTAACAATAGCAATTGTGTTGAATATTCAGCTTAGTTAAAGATATAGCTATGAATTTTCTGGTTCTGGGTTTTAGTATAACATCAGAATTTAAGGTGATATACTCCATGACACTAAACAATGTTTACTGGACATTGAGATTGTCTTAATTATTGCTGAGCTCAGATATTATTAAAAATGCTACTGCATGTAAGGCTAAGTTCAAATGGAAGCTGGGATCAGATAATTTAGAATATGACGAAAGATATAAAAATAGAAATGAGAGGACGCGGCGCACGGCCAGCCAGTCCGCCGGGCAGCGGGCGGTGTCCACCTGTGAGCGCTGGAGTGGGGCTGGAGGCGGCGCTGGGGCGTGGTGTGGGGCTGCCCTGCTCCACGTTCCTTGGCGCTGCTCCGCGCTCTGAGCCCAGAGGTGAGGTTCCCCGCGTAGGCCACCGCCTCCCGGGACCGAGGGTGTGGTCGGACATTGGTGAGCGAGTGCGCATGCGCGAGCAAGTGTTGGCGTCTAGGTCTACGCGGCAGCTGCTGTGTGGTTTAGCTGCTGCCCGCCGGACTGGCGCCCTCCAAGAAGAATGCTCTGACTACTGTGCCCCTCTTCGTCCACCCAGTTCCTATGACTTACTTTGTGCCGCCCGATCCTTGAGGAAGTGACTGGAAAGCAACCTGACATCAGGACTATGGCAGGAAAAGTGAAATGGGTCACCGATATCGAGAAGTCAGTGCTGATAAATAACTTTGAAAAGAGAGGATGGGTCCAAGTGACAGAAAACCAGGATTGGAATTTTTACTGGATGAGTGTGCAAACCATCCGGAACGTCTTCAGTGTCGAAACTGGCTATCGGCTCTCAGATGATCAAATAGTCAACCATTTCCCGAACCACTATGAACTGACCCGGAAGGATCTGATGGTGAAGAATATTAAAAGATACAGGAAAGAGCTGGAGAACGAAGGGAGTCCTCTGGAAGAAAAAGATGAGAATGGAAAATAACTCTATCTGGAATTTGTTCCGGTCACCTACATGCTGCCTGCTGACTACAACCTGTTCGTGGAGGAGTTCAGGAAAAGCCCCTCGAGCACCTGGATCATGAAACCTTGTGGCAAAGCCCAGGGCAAGGGCATCTTTCTGATTAACAAACTGTCACAAATCAAAAAGTGGTCCCGGGACAGCAAAACATCCTCCTTTGTGTCTCAATCCAATAAGGAAGCCTACGTGATCTCGCTCTATATTAACAACCCGTTGCTAATCGTTGGGAGGAAGTTCGACCTGCGCTTGTATGTCCTGGTGTCCACATACCGCCCGCTGCACTGTTACATGTACAAGCTGGGGTTCTGCCGTTTCTGCACGGTGAAGTACACCCCCAGCACCAGCGAGCTGGACAACATGTTTGTTCACCTCACCAACGTCACCATTCAGAAGCATGGGGAAGACTACAACCACATCCACGGGGGCAAGTGGACTGTGAACAACCTGCGGCTCTACCTGGAGAGCACCCGAGGCAAGGAGGTGACCAGCAAGCTGTTTGACGAGATCCACTGGATCATGGTGCAGTCGCTGAAGGCCGTGGCCCCCGTGATGAACAACGACAAGCACTGCTTCGAGTGCTATGGCTACGACATCATCATAGACGACAAGCTGAAGCCCTGGCTGATGGAGGTGAACGCATTCCCATCGCTCACCTCCAGCACCGCCAATGATCGAATCCTTAAGTATAACCTGATAAACGACACCCTCAACATTGCGGTCCCTAATGGTGAAATTCCAGACTGTAAGTGGAACAAGTCGCCCCCAAAGGAAGTTCTTGGCAATTACGAAATCCTGTACGATGAAGAGATGGCGTAGGGGGACGGGGCTGACTGAGAGCTGAGAAGTCGGTCGGGCCAGTCATTGGGGTCCAGAGGGATCCGGTCAAGAGACTCAAGGAGAACTGTCCTCACAACCTGGAAATGACCACCAGTGACAGTGGCACTCCAGCCTGGACCCTCCAGAACCACTCACTGCACCCTAAAGACCTATGAGTATTTTGAAATTTCCTTTTTCTAGAGCTTTTTTCCTTTCCTAAGTCCTGTAAATAAATAAAGACACTTCTTTGGAAGGTTTAAAGAGTCTAAAAAAAAAAAAACAGAACTGAGAGGTATAATAGAAATAAAGGGCATTAGTAGAAGGTAATGAATTAATGTCTGTTTTGTAAAATAATTATTTTTCTTTGGATTTTACAATTAGACCAATATAAATCAGAGATCATTTCCATGTATAGTTAGTTATATGCGTTTTCTTTTCTTGTTCACCACTTTTAGATTTTAGTATTATATATTTAAAAATCATAGCCTTCAAATTTTAGGAAAGAATTATTGGTGCAGATTTTAATTAATATTACTTCCTGAATTCTCTTTATTTTGCTGACAGAAAAGGTTTGGGGGGTAAGGAGTTAATTTCAAAATAAAATGGTGAAAAAAAATCCAAGGCTCTTGTGAAGATAAATAGGAACTCTCATAGGGGAAAAATATAAGATAAGACTATGGTAATTCTAATCACAAATAGTATTAAAACCAGAGTACTACGTTCTATAAAACTGAAAGGTAATTATATTTCAGATTTACTTAAAAATGCGAGCTTTCATATAAACAAGATTAGGCATCTGATGTATAACTTGGATAAACAGAGAATTAGAGAAAAATGAAGGCTCTCCACCCAGCACACTAAATGAGAGACGGGCATTTTCCACAAAATGTTACGATGCTAATATGTGATATTTCCTCATAAGGACTCTGAGTGCTTTTCAAAGAAACGCATGGTGTTTTAGAAAGGCAATATATTTTTGATATGCTTTGAGTGACCTCTGGTGGCTGAAAAGAATTTTGTCATGCACTTACCTTTTACATTTATTAGTCACACTACACTTATTTATAAGGTATTATTAATTCCTTCTATTAGATAAGTATACATTTTATTAATGCCTATTATTTTTAATTTTAACACTATTGGACTTCTCCCCTTAATTGTTTTCCTAAACCTCTTAAGGTATGATCCAAAATATGATTTATGGTCAACGGTGGCGCCTCTGAGTTTTCCTCGCGATTCTGTTGCTGTGTGTGCCCTAGGAGACAAGCTCTATGTGGTTGGAGGATATGATGGACATGCTTATTTGAACACTGTTGAGTCATATGATCCACAGAAAGATGAATGGAAACAGGTATTCTTATTAAAAGTACTCAAATTGGTATATTTTCAGGTTTTAATAAAATATTTTTAATGTATGTTTGCAATTAATTCCATTCCCTTACCTTTTAGGGCCTAACCAGGTTCTTTTAGTGAAATTTGTAGTATGTGCATTATCTATGCTATATCAAATTACTGTTGGGTTGTCGAAAAAGTCATGACGCATTTTTGTAATGAAAAACATAGAAAAAAGATGTCATGACTTTTCCAACAACCCAATAGTTGATCTAAGTAATCATTAGCAGGATCCATTAGTACTTAAATGAAAGGGGACAGAACCATCTTTTGACTGCATAGATCATTCATTTCACAGAAAAGTGAATCAGGTTCAATAATTCAAGAGCCTTACTCTCTGCCCAACTTTCTATGTATGTATTATGACTTGAGAACCAAGGAGCAATGTCCTTGTCCACACGTATCTGCCCCATCTTATCAGCTGATGCGCAGGAGAAAAATCTTTCAATCCCCTCCTCATAAAGATTGCATAAACTGTGATGGTCTTAACTTTTAATCAGTCATTCAAGAAAATTAATGCTCAGTAAGAGACTGGAATTAAACAATCTCAAGAGTGCTGGGCATCTAACCGAAGAAATCATAAAGAGAGTACAAGAAGAGGCACTGAAAGCAAGTCTAGGTGATGCAAAGCAAAATTGATGTGTCTGACAGTTTTTCCAGTGAGGGTGTTATATTTATTCCAAAATGTTTAATGGTGTTTTGCTAATTACATAATACATTAATAAAAACATGAAGTATGATGAACTCTTCACCATTTCCACAAACAGGAACACTGATTTCATGCTGCTCTGTATTCTACATAGTGAGCTGGTTACTGTTCTAAATAACTGTGTTAATATATTGACAGCTGATAATGGATTTCTACCTCTTTCCTTCAACAATTTGATTTATTAAAACCCTTGGAATCACTTAAATTCTGCCATGTAGGTAGCTCCTTACTTTATCAATACTTAAGACCAGTTAGAAATGGAAGAAAACATTTTAGTATCAAGGAGTTAGGTCAATTACAATAATCAAAATGCTTGTCAAAGCTGGTGGAATTTACTTTTCTAAAGATTGTAAACTAGTACCTAAGAGACCTAGATTCTATTTCTGGGTTTTCAATGTTTCATTGTGTGATGTTGGAGAGAGTAAAACAGATCTAACAAATAATGGATTTATAACTACTATATGTTATTGGTAGTTACAAAATATGTAGTAACAGGGATGTAAATACAGCATACGGAATACAGTCAATAATGTTGTAATAACATGTATGGTGGCAGGTGAGTATTAGACTTATAGTATCACTTAAATTATATAAATGTCTAACCACTATGTTGTACACCTGAAACTAATATAAAATAATATTGAATGGCAACTGCAATTGAAAAATAAAAAGGAAAGAAAAAGAAAAAAAGTGAAAAAATAACTACTATATGCCAAGTTATTTTCATTCATTATCTCACTTAATTCTAACTTATTCTTGAAGTATTATTGGCTGTAATTTTTCAAGTGAGAAATTACCAGACAGGTGGAACTTACTCAATATCACCTGCTCCTGAAACTCAGATTTACATCATTTTAAAGACTATATTTTTCTACCACACTGGACTGTTATCTGGGCTACATTTTCCCTTGTTTTTATATGAGGTGTAGGTTAGACCAGAACAGCTAAAGATTGTATCAACTTCAACATGCTATGTTATGCTAAACACAGAGTTCATTCAAACTTCATTTCTTGTTTTTTTTTTCCCCCCTCTGTGTTAGGAAATTCCTGTTAAAATGCCAAGAGCTGGTGCATCTGTTGTGGTGATAAAGTTACCATAAAGCTATGTTTATCAAAGGGAAGAAAACTGGATACTTTTTAGAAATGGAGTAGGAAGAAGAGAGGAAGAAAAAAATGTTCTTTCCTTGAATTAGTAAGCAAACATGAAAATTCTTTTGTTATTTTAATACATACTTATCATTGTTCTAATCTGTGAAGCCAAAACATAAGTTACCTGTAGGTGTTAAGTTTATATGTTGTTATAGCTGATAATATAAATGGAAGTCCACTAGTCTAAGTTTAGCCTCATTACTTTAAAATGTTTAAAGGAAATTGATAATGGCCAAGGTATGAGAGGTTATAAAAGCATTGTTAATTGTTAAGAGTCTAAGAAGTTCAAAACATTTTCTATTTCAAAAAAAAAGGTACTCTATTATCTGGAACATAACTAATATAAAACAGAACATCTAAAGTTTAAAATATGAAGTCTGGTTTTCAGTAAGACATCATTCTCTTATTCAAAAAAAAATCTCCACTAGCTAAATGATACCTCACATTTACCAAGAAGAAAGCTTTTACTGTGTTGAGGGGAAAAAAAACTCATTGACATAATTTGTTGTGATGATCACAGTATGTTAAAATTTTCACAAACTTATACTTTTAAAGTACCATCTTCCAAAGCATACATATAAATTTGGTATTCTTTAACATGTTGTCTTGTTAGATTTGTTACCAGCAAAATATTACTGGTCATTTCATATACACAATCTATACAGTAAAATAGTGAATATTTATCATATTGATACAAACTGTGACCTCAGCTTTAAAGTTTCAGGGCTTCACTTGTATAGAAAGTAATCTTCTCAAACATTTTTGTGAACTCTGTCAACACCTACCATTAAGTTTAACAAATTTTCAAAAACAATTTTGAAAGTGCAGTAAAATTGGGATGCTCGACAATATTAACACTTGGAAACGAAAATATGTTCAATCTATGATAAATTCTGTAATTATCTTTTATGTACTAATACATGCTTTTCTGTCAATGTTATATTCATACAGTAGAAAATGTTAAGGATAGATGTACTACAATAAACATTTTTAAATGAAAAAACAACAAAATGGCTAGTTGGGTAGTACTTTACCTTTAAATTTTTACTTCCATTATCACCTTACAAAAATATTTAAGGTAAAATGTTGAAAAACTTCTTTATGAAAATAACTTTAAAGTAATGTACAATTTAAAATTTTCTGCAATATGTTCTTTTAAACAGGCTTTGTATTGTAGTATGTGAAACCAACAAGTAAAATCCAGAGAGACTCTTACAAAATGTACTACTACTTTTTAAGTTTTAAAAAAAGCGCAACATAAGTTGTACAAAGATATTTGTACTTTGACAGATTGAATTTAAATAAAATCTATTTCCTCTGGTTATAAAGAGTGTGGCTTTAGCTTATGTCAAATGCAACTTGAAATGACTTTTTAATATTTTTACCTCAATAGCTAAAATACTGCATTTAAATATAAAAATATAATTTTCCTCTTTTGTTCCTTACTCCTGCAATTGTCTTTAGTTCTAAACAGAGAGCTATTGACATCTTGAGCTTTAGGGGTAGAAATAGAGACATAGATATGCTGTGAAAAAATAAAATGCATGCACACACACACGCACGCACACACACACAGCTCTGTTGGATCTTTGAATTCATACCTTATCCAAATCAATGTAGAAGAAGAGTTACATAAACATCCCTAGAGCACAGCTTGGCCTGTCAAGTTACAATGGAGTGTGAGCCAGTGGGAAAAGGAAAGATCAAAGGACCTAACGCAGCCCAGCTTGCCAATGTTTCAGCCACAGCAAGATGGCACCAATAGGGAGATCAAGACAAGATGTCCAGAGTAATATCTACCGTTCAGGCAAGTGGAGAGTGAATACCATCTTCTTGATGGTCCAGTTAGGCTTATTTCATTTTGATCTTCTATTTAGTTGGACATATATGTGCGTTGCCCAGGGCTACTGCTGCATAGCTGCATTTGAAAACTGTGCTCAGGCCGCAATAGCCTAGCTGGACTGCCAAAAGCTGAGCAGTTCTGAGCCACCAGAATGGAGAGCTGCAGACGCTTAGGGCACTGAAACATGACTGCTGACTTCAGTTCAACCTAGCTGGGAAAAGTAGTTATAGGGGCAGTCCCCTTGTTACTATGGCATGGTGAACATGATCTATCAGGCTGGTTTAAGCTAATAAGAAAGGGAGTTATTAATTTTATATATTCTTTCAACAAGCATAAGCGCTGACACATTTATATACTATACTCAGATTGGAAAGAAAGTGTTGGTTCTTGGTTTTTTATTTATTTTTTATTGGGGAATTGGGGGATGGGAACAGCAGTTGGGGAATTGGGGGAAGGGGAACAGACAAGTTGCTGTCTTTTTTTGTTCTTCAGTCTAGTTGTGGAGGACGTTGCTTCACTGGCCCAAGTTGGCACCATCATTGCGCTCTTCCCGGGCGAGGCAGATCAGTCGCTGGCTTCTGGACGGCCGCTCACGCTGGCTGCTGGCTACACACGGTAGCCCATGGCAACCCACTGCCACAGGGGCTGCAGCCTATGCCGTCGCCGGCGACTCACAGCAGCCCAGCTCCAGGTTGAGCTGTTGTTCAGCATCTTAGCTGTAGAGGGCAGTGTCACTGGCCCTCATATGTGGGATCCGAATGGGGGCCCTCTGGCGTCCGAAGCCAGTTCTTAACCATCACGCCACTCGGCTGGTCAGATTTTGATTTTTTTTTCTTTTTTTTTTTTTTGTAATCACTGCCCTTGCTCAGGATCCCCAGTTTGCTGCCCTCAGCCCGTATCATGATGACTCGCCAGACAACACCATCAGCTACTTCCCTGTATTTCCACAGGGCATGAAGGAACTTCTAAATACCTTCTATACCACACAGAAGCTACAGAAGACTATGGGGCATTAAACTTGGTTTCCCTCCCTGCCTAACTATGCCTTTCGTCAACTTGAATCACATGTGGTTGCTGCCCCATTGTGATACAGAGGAAACACTGAAACAAAGTCTCCTCTTAGAGGGGATAGAACTAAAATTCTTCTGATTTCATATCTTCCCTTTCTTTAAGCTCTCTAACAAGAATCCTACCCCAATATCTTAGTCCAGGAAAAGAAAAAAAGACCATAAAACATGTTTCCTCAGCTGTCGTCCTTCTGTCCTCCAAGTCATCCGAAGTAGAGTGACCAGTTTTGCAGTTACTGTCCTCTTCATCATGGATTTCCTATACATCATATCCCCCCTTGCTGGAGACACTAAGCCAAAACCTGAGTGATAGAAGGAGTATCTCTCTAGTCTGTGGAAGATTCTATATAAAACTTCCTATCACCAACCTGACCCTCCATATGTCAAAGGAAACATTAAATACAGTGTTTATAGCATTTTTTACTCTCTTGACAATACTTGTTTTTAAAGAGTATTGCCTGCTACAGACTAGGAAAATAATCCTCTTCAACATGCTAAAAGTTTACTATTGGCATCCTCTTTTTTTTCCCTGCATTCCTGTTATAATCCTAATGCCCTCCCACATGCATACACACACACATACATACACACATGACATACACAAACATTGAGAAATGGGTACACCTAGCAAAATAAGGGAAATCTCATACATGAGTAAATGTCAAAAGATAAAAGCACATTATTGGAAATCTCATACATGAATAAATGTTAAAAGATGAAAGCACATTAATATTTTTCAAAATAGTATCCCTGTGACACAAACATTTATTAAGGATCTATTGTGTCTTAGGCCCTAATGAGACATATAATATATATATATATATATATATATATATATGTGTGTATATATATATATATATACACACACATATATATATATATATATATATATATATATATATATATATATATATATATTGGGGCTAAATTTATGAAATATCTACCAAATCCAGGTCTACATAATTTAGATTGTATTTCAAGTGATAGAGAATCAGAATTTGATGACCACTCCTCTACAAAGACCAGGTGAATTTGACAAGTTCATGTTTCATCTAAGGTCATGGAGATGCTCACACAAACAGCTCGGTTCCATATGCTAAGTTCAATCTATCTGAGTGGTTAAACACTCATATCTGGATCACAACTAATTAGAATTAACAGAAGTGGGTCACATAGAGGTTCTGGAAATCAAAGCACAACTAATCTTATTTTATTTTATTATTATTATTTTTTAAGCTGAGCCATCCTGCACCCTGTTGGCAGCTCAGTGGCAGCTCAGCTTGGGCCAGGAATTGAACTGGCAACCCTGTTGCTCACAGTTTGCACTCTTGAGCAAGCTCTTAACCAACTGAGCCACTCGGCTGGCCCACAACTAATCTTATTTTAAAATAGGCCTAAAGGGCTGGCCGAGTGGCGCGTTGGTTAAGAGCTGGCTTGGGACACCAGCTCTGAGCAGCAGGGTCCCGGTTCGGATCCCACATAAGGGCCAGTGACACTGCCCTCTGCAGCTAAGATGGTGAGCAACAGCTCGACCTGCAGCTGGGCTGCCATGAGTCCCCGGCGACGGCATAGGCTGCAGCCCCTGCTGCAGTGGGCTGCCATAAGCTACCGTGTGTGGCCGGCAAGCAGCGTGAGAGGCCAACAGCCAGTGTGAGCTGCCAAGAGCAGCTATGAACGGCCATCCAGAAGCCAGCGACAGATCTGCCTCACCCGCGAAGAGCACAATGATAATACCAATGTGGGCCAGTGAAGCAACGTCCTCCACAACTAGACTGAAGAACGAAAGGACAACAACTTGTCTGTTCCCCTTCCCCGATTCCTCAACGCTGTTCCACTCCCCCAATTCCCCAATACAAAAAAACTTAAATAAATAAATAAATAAAAATAAAATAGGCCTAAAAAGACAAAATCAGAAAGATCTTTTAGGAGAGTGATGTCAGTCAAATGGCAACATAGGAATTTCTACTGCTTGTTCTTCTCCACCCCTCCCAACATCAATCTGAACAACTATCCATGCACAAAAAAAATATGTTCACAATTACACCATGTGGGTAAAACACAGAAATAAGAAAGGACACATTGAGGAGGGTATGAAAGATAAATTCACACTACCTCATTACCCTTCCACCAAGCCCAGTCAGCCCAAGTTGGAGACACCTTCCCAGGGGGATAAGGAGAGTAAAGTGAGAGCTTAACTTTACCATGTACCCCAGAGCGAACCCACCCGAGCACCAGGTGGACTCCCGCAGTCTTACGTGGCTCTCTGCAGGCTCCTGGCAACCCAGCACCATGGTATTTGTTGGCTCCAGTGGCTGCAGGTAGCTCTAGCAGCCCCAAACAGCATTCTTGGCTCCAGGTTCCCAGCGGCTCCCATGAACCCAGACCCTAGCTCACCCTGTGCCTGCTTACTCTAGCAGCCTAAGGCAACTTGCACAACATCAGGCAGCTTCCATGGCAGGACTCCTAGCAGGTTCCCAAGAAGCTCCCCTCCTCATTTGCTGACTCCAAGTAGCCCCAGGTAGACACCATGGCACCAGGCTCGCCAAGGGATCCCAGGAACCGAGGTATCCATTTCACTCTGGTGCCGGCTGGCTCCATGTGGCATCCTTGGCCCAAACTTCCTGTGGGTTCCCATGAAGCCAGGGCCAGGTTCATTCTAGCAGCTGCCTACTCTGTGTCCCTAGCAGATTACATGACAGTGCTCCCAGCAGGCTACCATAAACTCAGGCTTCTGGCTCACCCTGGTGCCTGCCTATTTCCGTGTTCCTGGCACCGCCCACAGTTTTTGGCCTCTTCCACCACAGGCCTCCTGGTGGGCTCATGGGAACTGAGGCTCTCATTGCACCCAGGCACTTGACAGCTCCAGAGCTCTCAGGGAGCTCTTGTGGCCCCTGGTGGCTCCTGTGACACCAGGCGCCCAGCAGGCTCCCTGGAACTCAGACCTTTAGCTCACCTGGAACCCACTGGTTCTAATGGCCACAGGTGGTATCTTCGGCACGAGGCACCAGGTGGGACCTTGTGAATCTAGGCCCCCATCTCAGCCCTGAACCTGCCAACTTGGGTGAAACCAGGTGGCTCCTGCTATACCAGGTAACGTTTGCAACGCCAAGCTCTCAGCAGGCTCCCTCAAATCCAGGCCCCCA